CATTCAACTGTCCATCTTCTGGTAAGTAACCTTTATCATCATTGCATTCACCAGCACTAACAGCAAACAGTGAGTATGAAATGTTGTATGAATTCAGGGAACATTGATAGGGTCTCTGTGACCTTAATGTGATTATATTTGTGCTAATGCATACAGTATAAAAGAAACTGGAATTCTCAATATGAAGGGGCCAGTTCATAAAAAATGTATGTACCATTAACAAGGGATTTTTATGCGTTGTACTTAGGGGGTGAAGAAAAGTAGAATGAGTCTATTTTGAATAAAGAACATACTTTTGCAATTATATCCTTTCACCTTTTCTGCAGCAGTGACASTTCTGTTCTCACATAAAATTTCTAAAGTGGAAGAATATTCATATAGGAACCAATAAGATTTTTTTTTCAAGTTAGGGAAAAGAGGAGGATGAAAAAGATGAGACAATGCAAACAAAGCCGAAGTGGAGAACTGTAAAATAAATAAATAAATAAATAAAKGGAGTTTGAGGGCTGTACTTTTTGGTAGCTTTTTCTTTGGTGGTAAACATAGCTGGTGGTTGCCCAYGAGATGTTCTCTGTAACATGAATCGCTGTAATAACCTGATTTTCATTATAAACAAGCCATGGAGTTTTAATGTTATCAGTCTGGATTCAGCACAATGCAGGTGTGTAAATACGAGCCCAGCTCCGTGCGTACGGGTAACAAACACAGTGATTTCCCCTGCTCCGTACGTGTTCCTGAGATGATCCCTTAGGAGAAGAACCCCTCGGGGACCAGGCAAAGGCAAGATATYGTGCGCTGCAGCCAAACTGGGGTCTGAGCTCTGCAGTGATTGCCGTAGCTGTGCTCTAGCAACTGCGTGGCCCATTCATGTGAGTATAAAACTGTCAGGCCTTACTGAAACGCTGGATGCTGCAGCCAGTAGAGCAACTTTGTGCTGTTCATTTTGATCGCTAATTCAATCATTTTTGTATGCAGGATTTTTAGCTTTTCTATTCAGTGCACTATATTGACTTACATGTCAATATGGCAGATCAATTTTGCCTTTACTTATCAAACCTTACACATTTTCAGAGGTAAATTAGGAGGGTATTGTACATGGGCGGGGGAAAACTAAGAAGGAGAATTTAAGATATGTAAATGGAGACAACAATTTGGCATTATGGAAGATAAGCACAGTACTTAGATGCTTTCCAAAAATAATGSAAATGCAGCAAAATAATTAAGTCTATCAATAGTAGATCAATAGTATCAATCAGTGTAGTATAATAATAATGGTAACTCTATCAATAGTCTGTCATTGCTAGGTTTCAGAGTTAACARCTGCAGCTGGCAGCTCCGCACAGGTGCAGATAGTTCCTGTTCTTACAGTCTGCTCTGCAAAGCTGAAATCCCTTCACATGAGCCTGGCATGTGGAGCAGAAATACTTCAGGAAAAGGTGACTTTTGTAGCCATGTGTGGGAAAGCCTGATGTTCAGGGAAGGTTGATACAGTCCAGATTAATAAATTGTATGCCTTGTCCTGGTCATGGTTATTACTGACACCCGAAGAAGACAACTATCTGGCTACCAAATTAAACATGAGAACTCAGGGTTTGAATGCATAACTTCCAGTGGGTGATTCCTTATTCTCATTTAATTTCTGGGCTTGATTTTCCTTACTGAAGTAACAGGGATATCTTCTGTCATAACTATAGGATAACAGCAGTGTGAAATGAGTTCGGTCTTCAGCATAAAATCTCAATTTTCTCTCTCACAAGGATTTGGATGTGTTTGCACAGCACCAAGGAACAATCTGATTAGTCAGAATTTATGAGGAGGTGATTGGGAAGGGCTGCCTACCTGCATGGCCAACCTCCAGGGTCGCAGGGAGAGCAAGCAGTGAAATGAGACCCCGATCTGGTGATGGGAGGCAAAAAGGGGGTTGTTTGGAGCCAGGGTTACGATTTTTSATTATCAGCTTCATCTTCTTCTTTCAGCTATTTTGTCTATGTGATTGCTTCTGGTATAATTACTGACAAGTAAGGGTCTCCATAATGAAGAACTGAGTTCTTCAGTGATGATGGACATCTACACACAGTACCTGATAATTTGAGTATTATCAGTCAGTGTATTTGCTTTCTTTTAAGAAGTTGTGTTTTCCTTCCCAGTAAGAGTGTTTATGATCTAACTGTGCCTGTATTACATGCTCAAACAGTGAGGTTACTGGTTTTAAAAATCTAAGCTTGTTTTTCTTACTTTTTTTTTTTTTTTACTTACTTACTTATTTTCACTTTCATGTTTTTGTTCTTGAAGCTGTACCTTGAATATGAGGTGGCTCAAAGAGTAAGGGAACAATGTGGTCTTCGTTTCTTATTGTTGCAGTTCCTGAAAGATGATTACAACAAATGTAAAGGATCACATTGTAGAACTGAGTCTAAGCATTTTAATATGAAGTATTATTTCAAATCCTAGCTCCTTCTAGTGAGCTGATTCATTTATAACCTTTGTTTAAAAGGATGTTTGAGAAAAATTTGGTTATTCTTTTGGCTAGTGGAAACTARTATTATTAGTTAGCTCCTTTATTGAATTTGATCCTGCTTGTTTTTCAAAGCTTTGGGTGCTGAACTAGAGACTCATAAAGGTTGAATTCATTTCTTGAGGGCCATGAAGAAGTTGTGCGTGTGGGCCCACCTGCTGAGGTGATCCTGCCCCTCTACTCTGCTCTGTTGAGGCCACACCTGGAGTACTGGGTGCAGTTTTGGGCTCCCCGGTGCAAAAGGGATGTCCACGTGCCCAAGAGGGAGGGCAACAAAGATGATTGAGGGGCTGGGAGGGCAACAAAGATGATTGAGGGGCTGGAACATCTATTGTACAAGGAGAGACTAAGTGAGTTGGGCCTGTGTTCTCTGGAGAAGAGAAGGCTGAGAGGGGATCTTATCAACATGTACAAATACCTGTGGGGAGAATGTAGGGAGGAAGGGGCAAGCTCTTCTCAGTGGTGGCCAGTGACAGAACAAGGGGCAATGGGTGTAAGTTGAAACACAGGCAGTTCCATCTCCAGGTGAGGAAGAACTTCTTCACTGTGAGGGTGACAGAGCACTCGAACAGGCTGCCCAGGGAGGTTGTGGAGTCTCCTCTGGAGATCTTCCAAACCCACTTGGATGCCACCCCGTTCTCTGGGTGTCCCTGCCGGAGCAGAGGGGTTGGACTAGATGATCTCTAGAGGTCCCTTCCAACCTCAACCATTCTGTGATTCTGTTCCACGCTGTGGTTCAGGGCTGGCACAGCCTGATGCTCAGCTTCAGACGCAGTCTCACCCCAAAGTGCCAGCTCTGGGTGATCTGTAGAGCAGAGTGTGGGAGGAGGCACTGGTGTCTCTTATTCCTTGCTGCGGCCACAGCCAAGCATCCATGCAGGAGGCAGAGCTGGCCGTGTATGTTTAACATAGGATGTGTTATATCCTCTAATGATTTTCAGCAAGGTCGCAGTTGCCCATGAGCTTCCAGCTCCCTGCAAGAGCAGGTCACCACGTGCAGCAACAAGCGCTGGGACAGGCCGCGTGTCCCTCTGCAGTCTGCCTGTGTTGTGACCCCAGCTTTCCTGAACAGTGTTGCTATAGCTGAAGAGAGAGAGGTGCCTGAATTAGGCCAGTCTGAAGATCGTGATCTCAGTCCTTGTGTCCGATAGTTGCTCACCTGCAGAGCGGGAATTAGAGCATTCCCCCTTTTCTAGGGCTCTGTGGGATACAGGAACGTGAAAGGGAGGTATCCGTCTTGCTGAAAGGATGTACGTACCAGAACGAGCTAAACTGTGGAAAACCTGTTTATAACTAGTGCCTTGATAGTCTTAATTCACATGAGAYTAGGAGGCCTTGGAATTTGATTTTTTTTCCCTTCCATTACCCCTCCTGTGTTTTTTTTCATTTTTCAAACCTMATACTGTTAAGCGGGTTTTTTTGCCCCCCCCCCCCTTTTTTTTTTGGATGGAGGCTTTTTGAAAAATCGGAAATTTGAAAATGGGAGAAGAAGGTTGTCTTTGTTTTACTTTTTTAATAATATTTTATTTTAGGAGGATTATTTTACAATGCTTACAGTTCACTTCAATTTTTTATTGTGTCATGCCCTCCCAGCCCCTTGGTGGGATGCGAGGTGAATGTATATATTATATAATTTATAATTAATTTATGGTGAATCACATATGATTAATGCTACTTATTAAATATTAAAGCCTTGGCTACATGTGCTAYGGCAGTAGCACTCCTGTTTGCTCACTGAGCACTCCTCAGCAAGCTTTTTGGCTTAGGCTGTGATCGCCGTAGTCACTTGCAAGGGAAGTCTTGGCTCCAGAAGGAATTAGAGGGTTTACCTYTATTTCCAGAGCAGTTGCCCCATTCCCCCTGCCCCAGATGAACCAGGAATCAGAGCTATAACRTGAGCAGAGTCTCTCCAGAAGGTAYRTGAGGGTGGTGCAGGTGCTGCTGGTGCCTCCCCAGCTCTGCAGGGCTGTGTCCTTGTCCTTGCTGGGATGCCCAGCRCTGAGGGAAAGCTCTATGGCATTGGAAGGGAGCCTGCCTGGAGGTGAGAGCCTGAATCTGCACAAGTGGAAAAGTGAGGCTACATTTTGACAGCCCCCCCCCCCCTTTTTTTCCCCTGTGTAAGGGAGTGGAGTTTAGGTGATGGAATAATTTACCTACAAAGGTCATTGCAGCATCTGGAACATATGAGCTCCCAAGTCAAGGCCTTATAACCAAGGTGGAAAAACAAAGGGCATCAAACACTGCCAAGTTAGGAGAACAGTCTTAACGAAGGCTTTATCCAAACCAGTAATAAATCAGAAATCGCAGAGGTAGCACAGGCTGCTCTGAACTTTTTGGATTTTCCAAACTCGGGAGAATCACCCCGGATACCTTGATGGGGTAGAAGAGGAAGAGTGGGAAGGTCCTGCCCCTGCTGCGTGCTGGGATTGGGCCTCAAGCTGCCTCTTGGGCTGAAGCGAGGGCCCAGCAAGGAGGAAACGGGCACATGGTCGGACGTGCAGCGGGAATCGGCCTCAAGCTGCCCCTTGGGCTGAAGCGAGGGCCCAGCAAGGAGCAAACGGGCACGTGGTCAGAGGTGCGGCGGGAATCGGCGCCGCGCCGTGTTTGCTGGCAGCTCAGCAGGCAGCCGGCAGGGTTTCCTCTGTGTCTGGGAGAAACCGTGACACCTGAGTGCCCGTTACAGCACGTAGATCAGAAGGGGACTAAGTACCCTGGTAAATTTATGAGAAGGAAAAATACGGACATGGGAGGGAAGGCGAGAACTCGATTCTGAGGATGCAGCATGCATAATTCCATACAGGGAGCCATGTAAGACCACATTCCTATGTGTGAAATTGTGTGCTCTTTTACTAAAATGCCTGTGTCACATAGAAAGCGAGCTGGAAGAAGCAGGCAGAGCATTCAAGCACTGGAATAAAAAGATGTATCAGCTTCAATCAGTGAACATATGAAAGGAATGTAATACTAAGTGATTCCAATTAGTACAATGCAAAAGGAAAGGAATAGAATTAGTTTTAGTTTAATGGGCCTGCGTAACCCACTTGTACAACACAGCTTGTGAGATGAAATACTGCAAAATCCTTGGGGTACAGATAATAGCAAACAGTGGTTCTTTGGATATCTTATACTGTGAAAAAAAAGCTAAAGCAAGGCATATTTCTTTGAGACTTCTTGTTTATTTATTGAGAGATCAGGCTTTATTAATTGCAGGAAAATCAAATTCTAGTCAAGTATTTCACTCCTGGTTTTTACTTCAGCCAGACCTTTCAAGGAACAATTTAATGATCTGACAGATTATTAGGAGCTTATTTTAATATTAACTAAATCATCCACTAAGATGAAATTCTCAGCCCTTAAAATTACATTTAAAAATGATTTAGATAATTTGATTGTAATGGGAAGTGATATATTCGTTGGTATTTAATCTTTKTTTTGTAATATCACTTCGTACATACCGCTGTGATAAGAAGATTTAAGAAAAATAGCACAATGATACATGGAAATTACTTAAGCTAAACTTTTGTTCAGTAATGTAGAACCATGGTTTGTATAGGAGAAAAACATACTGAAGAAAACCTAGATTTGGTTTGTTTGATGGCAGCAATCCTGCTGGAATTGCAGGGCATTTGAAAGAAACAGCTTTCCCTGAACCTTACATCTCTAGCTACATTTCTTGCTTTTCAAGTACCTCAGATGAGTAAATCAGCCATAAAAAATGTAGTGACTGGGTCTCCCATGTTATTAGGCGATGGTGGAGTCCTCGCCAATTATAATAGGTCATCTTATTCTCGTTATTAAATGACAGTAGTCAATAAAATGCCAAACATTTTGATGGAATTCACTTTATAAAATGTCAGCAAGTCTGTATGTTTTATTAGTTCCAAATCAATTTAGGAATTCCAATAGAAGGTTTGTAAGCATTCCCAAAGCAACGTCCGTTTCTGACTCACGGAGAGCACACGAAAATATTACAAATTAATCAGATTTTCAGATTTCTGCATAATAGTTCTGCACATTTATTGTTTAATACCATTCTAAAATGCTGTTATGATTGACACTTTGCTGTAGAGATAGAAGTCAATTGAATAATATGTAGCAGTCAATTTTATTTGTACCTTAATGTGCTGAAGTATTTTTTTTTCCACATTTCCATTATTTATAAGTCTGTCCCCTTGGAGAATATATAGAAGAATTTGTTTTAAATGAGCTGATAATACCCTCTTTAAAATTTATAAGTATGACAGAATCGTATCCTTTTACCCTAGCACACCATGGCTTGCCAGTAAACTAGCTGGGAATTGTCTAGCACTTGCTATTCATAGGACAAACATTGGAAAAGAGGATCTTGTTAAGGTTTACTTTGAATTGGATTTCAACCACGCATCAGGAAAAAAAAAAACCTAACAAGTTAATGGAGCGAAAGCTATGGGACTAACTAGAAAACATGAAATTCTTGCCAGRATTTTCCTGTCCTACCACAGCTACTTTTAATGCTTATTGTCCTCCTTTCAGTTTCAAAGGTGGATGTGTCCTCGCGTGTTGAAAAAGTGCTACCAATGTTGGAAAAGTTTATGATCAATGAGTCCTTCTCCACGAGGGGCTGGAGACCTGGTCACAGGTTGGAAAGCAACTTGGTGCTTTCTTGAACCTGAAAGGATCTCTTTCTGCTGCTCTCTTCCTCTCGCTCTTCCTCTCGCTCTTCCTCTCGCTCTTCCTCTCGCTCTTCCTCTCGCCCTTTCTCACTCGTGCTCACTTGCTCTCCTTCTCATTCTCTTTTCTTAAAAAAAAGGCTTTTCAGGCTTCAGCAAAATATAGTGGAGCTGAGTTATAGTCTGCGCTTAGCAAGTCATTGGTGCCAGCCTATAGTTCATGGTGGATATTGATCATCTCAATAAGCACTGAAAAGCCTTGGTTTTGCAGAATTTTGCTCTCCCCTTGCTTTAGAAGACAAGGAAAGTAGCTGTCATTTGGAGGAATACTTATCTTCAGTTCACATAGTGCCTTTTCTTGTGCCTGCCGTCTTTTACCCTGCCTTATTCTTGCCTTGCTAAGTGGCGTAAGAAAAGACTTTATTAAGACACAAAGCAGTTGAGACTTGATTGTTTTCCAGATAATTTTTGCCTTCAGAAATTAGAATGGCTGGTGCTCGCCTAAGCATAAAAAGCGCCGTTCCCACACACGCCGAATGCTCATGTCCTGGATGTAAATTGATGTATAATGCAGCCCACATTAGCTGACTTGATGATAGCTTCAGTTTCAGTGCTGTCAGATTTTCGTATCTCCTTGAATGAGCTGGCTGGTCTGAATGAATGTTAGCATAATTTATGCAGCTGATAAGTGATTTGAGTGCTTGAGTTATTGATAAAGCACTTTAGCATATCATTTCCAGCTTGATGTTATGTGACATCACAGTCAAAAGTAATGTGCCAGTCCCCAGGCTTGATATTAAGGTAGATTTTCTCTTTGAATTCTAGAGGCCAGAGGAAACGCAGCGCTGTCTGACACGAGCACAGCCGACCAACACCAACCCAGTCAGTCCCATCCTGCATTCCCCGTTGGGCCCCAGGTCAGTATCTTTCCTTTGGACTACCTGAAACATGTAGTTTGATGAAAGGTACATAATCTTAAATGATCCYATTTTTTCTGTGTAATGTAGAAAATATGTTTCTGAGCTATTTGACTGCATTTTGAGGTTAGAAAAGGGTAGTATCCATGTGCCATGTTTATGTTTTGAAAGGTATTTGTTTGGAAAGATTAGCTTTTTTCTGTGCTTGTTTTGGCATRTTTAGGAGGTGAAATTATTTGAACTTTTTATATAAGTGATTTTTGAACTACAGGTTGTGATTTAATATTAAAAAGCTAGTGCAATTTTAATGCAGCCTTATTGACTCTGACAATTCTGCATGTCACATATAGTCCCACATTAGTAAAAACATTTCATTCATCCGTTATGCCAGGTATTTATTTTCTTTGCAGAAAAGTGTGTGCATAGTAGTATGGCCCTATATAAAGTTTTAAAGTAACCATCAGCATAGCCTGAGAAGACACTTGATGTTTGAACACACTTTATAGTACAGCCTGCACACAGCCCACCTAGCTCCTGGCAGCTGCTACTGTGGTGTTTTCTAGACTTACTAATATACAAGTGGGAAAATATGGGCAATGTGTGCAGGTGCTTGTAGCTTGATTTGAATCAGGCCTCCTTGTGTTGATAAAACATCTTTGGTGCATGTGCCATGCTCTGCCCCCTCTAGATTCAACTGGAATTGCTCCCAACAAAGTAGGCTTCCAATTTTGGTGTACTAAAATTTGTCAAGGCGTTTTGTGGTGGTGAAAATCATGCTTTGAGACCATGGGAGATGCTGGAGAGAGGTGGATGGAGGCGCTGTGGTTGCGAGGCTGTGCGGCGGCGCGGAGGGCCGAGGAGGCCTCACTCACTCACTCGCTCTGTGTTTCCCTGCAGCCCTTACTGACAGCCCAGCAGCTGGCCTCGGCGGTGGCGGGGGTGATGCCGGGCGGCACTCCAGCCCTCAATCAGCCCATCCTCATTCCCTTCAACATGGCCGGGCAGCTGGGTGGCCAACAAGGACTGGTCCTAACTCTGCCTACAGCTAATCTCACCAACATCCAAGGGCTGGTGGCAGCAGCTGCTGCAGGAGGCATTATGACTTTGCCATTGCAAAATCTACAAGGTAAGTTGTGTTTGGCATTTTTAGAAAGGATTTTGGGGCTTTTTTGTTTTGTTCCCACTGTGTCATCTGTACCATGTGTGCAAGAAGTCTGCATTAAAATAGAGGTTGTATTCTCTTTATGATCTAAATGAAACATTTCACAGAATCACAGAATGTTCAAGGTTGGAAGGGACCTCTAGAGATCATCTAGTCCAACCTTCTCGCTCAAGCAGGCACACCTAGAGCATGTGGCACAGGGTGGTGTCCAGGTGGGTTTGGAAGATCTYCAGAGAAGGAGACTCCACAACCTCTCTGGCCAGCCTGGGCCAGCGCTCTGTCACCCTYACAGTGAAGAAGTTCCTCCTCACCTGGAGATGGAACTGCCTGTGTTTCAACTTATACCCATTTCCTAAGACAAACTCTGTATACCTGCTTTTCTCTAGTATTCTTTCGCTGTTCAATCACTATGTCTAATACAGTTAGAAACAGTACTCAATCCAGACACATGATATAAAATACAAATGTATTTATTTACTATTCTAAATAAGGCTGTTGCTGAACTGAATTGCACAAAGTATAGCAAGATAAATGTGAGCAAAAAATCTCAAGTTAGAATTGCAAGAGCAGCTTTAATACATGTATGGTACGGATGTGATTATCTGGTGCGAAAGTGATGGTGGTGTGGGCGAGAATATGGAATTACAGCTTGAGTTCTTTCAATGTTTTGTACTTGTTTATTCTTCATTTCTTGCTGACATAAATGGTAAAGAAAGTTTTCCACAGACAAAATGGGTGTTTTATTAAATGCCTGCTCACGCTGCACACAAAGTACTTTTTAGGTGATTAAACTCTAGCTGCTGCTGATGCCTTAATGGATTGTTTGAAGCACCGTGTCCTGCAGGCTGTGAAACAGGAGAAAGGAAGAGACAGCTGATGTGTAGAACAAAGTCCGTACAAACCACATGCAAGTACCCTTACCTGTTGGCGCAGCTACTTGCCTTTACCTTGTGCATGTTTTAAAGTTTAATGTCAACAGACCTCTCTTATCATAGTTGTAAATGGTTTTCACTTTAATGTTTAAAATAATGTCTCTCTCATACCATTAAGCTGCACCAAAGAACCTGTCATTCATAAATCATAGATGAAAAGGACACACTAATGCACAAATTTTGCTTGTTTAAAATTTGAGAGTGCATGTAAAGTAGGGATCTGGAGATTAAAAAAATAATGCAGGAACAGGAGCGGGTAAAAGCAGATATAACAAAGTGAAGGGGAAGTGCCTTTTTAGCGTAGGTGGGTGATGAAATCTTAATGAGGAAGCAGGCCTTATAAAAACGTATCTTTCCACTCTGGAGCGTTCCAGGTTATGGTTGCTGTGTATGTAGTATTATAAATAAACATAAGCTTGTACAGTTCTTACGTCATTAATTCGCCCCGTGTTGCGAAGCTGGAGAGTAGGGATTAAGGCAGGCAACCTTTGCTCTTTAGTTTAGCCATGGGTATCTAGTTCTTGGCTAAAAGGAGCAACTTCACTGCCAAAGAAGTTTTGCAAGCAATGACCTAGTTGAAAAGTCTTCCTATATAATTCTTACTTGTACACACAAGCATAGGATCAAATAGGTACTTTCTGGATCAACAGGTGTAGCTCCCCTTCCATGGAGACAACCATGTCATCCTTAAAATACTTGAAGGGAAAAGGAGCCATGAATTCAGTTAGCTGCTTCTATACCCCTCCACCTGTGTGCCTCGCATGCTTGATATTTACACTTGCAGTAGAAGTCCCATTGCCCACTTCAGTCAGGTCGGTAGGCAAAGAAATGTAATGACTTTGTCCAGGTAGCACTTAAGGACCCTTACTGATGCTGTATGCTTTCGCTGCTTCCTATATGTCCTGTTAACCTATACATGTGTAAATGAAAGAAGAGTCGGATGAGAATGCTGTGCTTCCAGAGAACTGTCTGCTGTGAGGAATCATTGACCCCGCTGAACGTGGTTGGTCTCTGCTCTCACAGAATGTGGGTTTCATAGGCAGCATTCATATAGGTATGCTGAGAAGCCTTTGCAGTGACACAGTTTTGGTAATTCGTGCCTTTTGGGAGAAATCAAACCAAATTCATCAACTTCCAGCTGCCTTAAACCTCACCACACCACGGCCAATGTAAATAACCGGGAACGTGTTTTCATGTTGTTCTGTTACCTATCTTTCTCTACTCTCGTTGTTGTTTCTGCTGTCCCTAAATTCCTACAGCAGTCAAGCATAGATACCCAAGCTGGGTATTTTCTGATTTTGTTCTTCTCTCTCAACATTAAACTTCTCAACCTCTTCATCCCAAGCTACCCAAGCCAGGTAACTCAAAAGACTCCCTGAAGACTTCTTGAATAATGGATCAGAACGATGGATCAGAACTTCAGAAAAGTTCTGATCTAATAAAATACTTGAATTCATACTAAATGTTGATGAGGGGAGTAACCTGACCAAATTTGACATGATCCACATAACTGCTTAACAATGGTTTTCTTCTTGTCTTCAAGCAATCTTGAAGATTCTTGCTTGTGGCAAGAAAATATAAAGCATTCACTGATAAGAATTGTAGCAGAGAAACAGTGTGTGAAACAAGAGAAAACAAGAATTCATTTAAAAATTAAAGACATTGATAAAATTGAGAGATTAATGGTATGGAAATAACTCACAAAGATATAACTTATTCAGTGAAATTACCTACTCTTCTATTCTCGATTATTTATAAAAAAGCCTTTTTGCATTTATTTATGTTAAATTGTTCAGTTGCTATATGGTTTTGATTCACCACTAGGAGGTCAATAGGAGTTTTGTTGCTGTAATTGAGGATAGGTTTAGATCCTAAGCTTCTTTGGAAACTATTTCTCTTGATATATGTTTGATTATTCTCTGTTCATTACTCTGTCATTTGTCACACACACTGCTATACCATTTCTATTCCCTGAGCAAATAAGTCAAATGCTTGTGAACAGAAGGAAGGAAGATGAATATACCTTTTTACTGGCTCRTATTAAGCAAATTTAATATGTGCAAGAAATGTGCAAAGAATAAAATTTATGGAGATGCTCAGGGCTTATAGCAAAATAGAGCCATCTGCTTTAGAGTACGCAAACATCCCTGAACGTAACACAGATTTACCTGTAGAACTTGGGCTTTCTACTAGCAGGTCTTTGAACAAAATGTTAAAATCAACAACCGTAACTTTTTACTGGAATCCACTAACGTGCAGGAGATATGATTTTAAACACCATCCAAGCAAGCTGTTGTCCCTGTGTCTAGGCACAGTTACAAACCTATTATCCCCTAACCATTTCTTACACCTGAAACACAGGAGCGTTTTTCTAAATAGCAAAAATTTTAGAGGGGTCACATCGACACCTGTGAACTTGTGGGAAGGGAGAAAATGAGACAGGTGTCCTGCAAGTCAGTGTGTTTACTGTCCCACTGTCTCCATTTCCACCTTGAGTCCATTGCTTCTTGACCCATTTTTATTGACTGATATGGAAGACATTCTGCCGGTTTTCCTTTCATCATCCAAGCAGGTATCAATATTTTTCTTTCAGTTTTAGGGAAACTTTTCTCTGAACTGTACAATTTCAGACTTTGCAGCTCCTTTTGCAGGTTGCATTTCTTTCAAGGTTTCTGGAGGGAGGCATTCTTTTTCTCTTTGTTTTAGCTATCCTTCTCAAGAATCTCCTCAAGGGATTAATRGCTACTTAATGCACAGTATTCAGTATATCAGAAATATATTGTGATCTTCTTCAGTAAGGTGATATTTATGGAAAGGCATTCTTTCATTAAGCCTATCTGCTTTTCCTGTGCAAATATAACATTTCTGTATATCTGAAGAGAAAGATAACTGTTTTGGTGCTGAGTTTATTCTATATTGTTTTCTTAGTTTATGTGTTTGGCCTTTTGCATGCATGTTGAAATCGCTGAGAATGGGGAATCTTTTCCAGTAATGGGCAGTTGTTAAAGGTTTATCCTATCCTTTTATTCACTTAAATGACTGCCAAAGCAGTTTCAGTTAGCAAATTAAAGTTTTAGCTCGACTTTTAGTATGGCATACATGTTAGAAATGGAAAAAGAAAACAACCAACCAACCAAAAAACCCCAAACCTACCACCATGTGGTCTACCAGCTCTGCTCCAGCTACTCTCACTCCATGGATAATAATTTAGGAGTCTCTCTGCTAAGGGTGGCCCCAATAAATTGCCTGACTTGGCAATGACACATTAGCATTTTAGACCTCTCCACTGTCATGGAGCTTGGATGGTACTTGAAGCTCAAAAGGAAGCATCAAGCTGGAAATTTTGTGTATTTTCTTTCCACCACAAACTCTACTGTTTCTAAAGTGGATGTCAATAATTTATTTCGAAGTCAGAGTTTTTCAGTCTTGAGCTCTGAAAGAAAAGAGAACAAACTATCTCCCCAAATCATTAGTGGAAGACTTCAGTGCTGAAGGAAAGCCTTGCATGGCTGAAAATGTGAAATCATTAAATTACATTATTTAAGCAGAAGCAGGTCATATTTTAGCTGCAATACAATGCAAGGAGAAATGTATTAAGCATCTTGAGAGCTAAGAGACAGCCATTAAAATGCACTGATACGGGTAACACAACAGAGAGATAATGGTTAAAAAAAGTTAAAAAGGGTTTTTTTTCTACATGGAGATCTGATCAGTCAGTATAATGTTATGTAAAGACATAAGATTACAGAAGGGAAAAATGTATTGTTTACATTTAGTAGATCTTGTTTCATCTTAGCATAGATTTGTTTCATTAATTGCATAACAGATAAAGTAAACATACATTATCCCCATTCCCCCATGTACACACAGCATAAGAATCAGAAACCAGGAAGATATGAAAAACAAGAAAGACAGAAAAGAAATAAACTACAAACTTCAATTGCTCACTGATCTAGCATCCAAATCCCAGTCTTTAGAACATTTTCTGCTTTTAACTAAAGTGATGCAGTCCCTATTCATTTGTATTCCCCT